GTCCCAGTTGTCGGCAGGCTCGTCAAATCACTGGACTCTCCCCCGTTTACTGTAAAAAGGCCAGATTGACTTTACCTGCTCACCTTCTCAAAGCTAACCTGTTTCACCTATTGGTTTTTGGCAGGCAGGTTTTCCAAAAGGTCAACGTTGTGTACTCTATGACCATGAGCAGAATGGACGTACTAAAAACATCAAAAGCCGGCGAAGCGAAGGGGAGTTTGATAGAAGCATGGTCTCTTTCTCTCTCTTTCTTTTTTCTTTGTGTTGTTGTTCTTTCTCTTCTCTTTTTCCCCTTTCCATTTCTCTTTTGTGTCTCTCTATCTTTATCTTTCTGCTTATCGTTCTCGTTTTCTTTCCCTTTCTCCACCCGAAGGCAAAAGACCCACAACAACACCGAGCCCCTCAAGCTTTCGGGCAGACGTTTGCGCGAGCGTAGTGAGACACGCGCAACGAGTTTTTGAAGGACACGAAAGTCCGGGGGATCAATGCGCCCGGCTGTCTAATGGGTGGGTCCGTTTCCAGGACCAATCCGCACCCGAATCCGCCCGGCGTCTCGACCGAGGTGATTTGTGCGCATGTGGAAAAGCCAAGTTGACGCCTAGGGCCCGCTTCTATTCCCCAGTTCTACCGTTTCGTAGCTCTTTCCTAGCGGTTCCAAGCGCAGCGCATATATTATCTACGAAGGTACTACCGAAGTTCGTGGAAACAATCCTCTGATATGACACTTCGGACCCTTCCAAGTGCATCATTTACATTGGAATGTATGTTCACCAACCATGTATAAGGCTGTTTCGCATTCCAAGTCCATGTTTAAAGCCGCTGGTTGCTCTCGGATCGCGTGCAACCAACAGGGTTTTGCCATTTGTGCAGAGGAGTTTAATCCTTCAGCCAGGCTGCGCTTCGCTTTCTTCGCGGCCTGCGCAGCAAGCTGGCCTGTGTAGCCGCAGGATGGAAATGCAGTGGAGCATGGCTGTGGAACATGAGGCCCCTGCATTCAGGTGATCAAACCTGACCTCTTGACCTTTTGATTCTTGCATTTGGGTTTAGTGGAGGTTCAAAAACGAGATTGGGGAAAGTGGTCATGTGCAAATCCAATTGTTCTTTGTTTGTTTGGTGGGTTCCCCACAAATCAAACCAAGTAAGAACCGGGTCATGGGCACGGATCATGGAGGTGGGACCAAAAGTTGTGCCATCGGAAATGCAAAGGGAAGCCAGATGTGTTGTGCCTCGGCGGCATGCTTAAGGTCTTGCATTGGATGCGAGTCTGGGTGAAATGGGGGGGCTGTGTCCACACCTGGAACATGGACCGCTTTTCGGACGTTGAGAGAGCAAACGCAACGACATCAATCGCTTTTACATTCCAAGGCCCCCTATTTGAGAAAAAGGCTGCGCTTTAGACCTGATCTTGCCACACAGCCGAGAAGCAATGGGGTCCGAACCCACACACCTTCTCTCCCTAGTCCCCTCTGAACAAGCTCCTCATTGCTTAGAGTCTTCTTTTAGGGAATCGGGGGAGGGGGACTATCTTTGCGAGGTTCCTTTCTTCCACGATTGATGAGGGGTGATTGTATCTGGTGTAGATGACTTGGGAGTATGTAAACGACCCCATCCGTAAAGTTGCTCCCACGTTATCCGGCAATCCCAGAAGCAGTTTCCGTTCAATTTACACACTTGAAAATGCAACTATCCTATGCCACGGTTTCTTCACAGAGTGTTTCGCAGGGTGGCATCATGCTGAAGGAACACCGGGCACCGCCCCGACAGGGTCCCATCTCATGATGTTTCTGGAAAGGTTGCAAGTGTACCAATCACTTGCATTTCTCCCGCTGGCGCCATAAGTCCCAAGTCATCTTCCAATAATAGTCGGTGGTTCACAGAGAAGACCGGGAAAAGGACAACCATGACTTAGGAGGGGCTCAAACCTAGGAGGGCTCAGGCCGTTTCCGGGCACTTCTCCTTGGCCCTTTTTGTAACGTTGAAACTTCTGTACAGAGCCGTGTTCGATTCTTTGGGGGTTTCGACAAAAACCACCCTCAGAACAAACAGAAAGGCATCGACCTGACCGAAAAAAAGCGGCTCGCCCTAGTTGCGGCCTTTAGGAGAAGAGGATCTGGCCAAACTGGATGCCTTTCTTCTGGACTTCAGCAGCCGCATGGGCAGGCAGAGAGACCCGAGAGGGACTTGGGGTTTGCTTGTGAGTGCGTTTGGAGGGCGCGGTTTTTGAGGTTGGTTTGGACCCATATAGTGATTGGCGTGTCGAACATGTGATGTGCCATTGATGCTTCTGTTGGGGTTTAAAGGGAACTCAAAGCTTCATGGTTTGTCATGTATGCTTGTGTTTGCATGTTCCATCCATTGGCAGCGTTCCATTTAGGGCCTTTTGTTTCTGGCCTGTTTCATTTATGTGTGTTTCGGAATCTTTTTTTTGGTTGTTTTCAAGGCAAGCTGCAAGACAATCTCGCAATGTCCATTAGCTTTAGGCTTTGTCTTTGGAACTTTTATGTTCATTTCTTCCGTGTGTGGACCTCTCTGAGAGTGTGGGTGGTGTTAGCTGCCAATTCCACTGCTGAATGACCTGGCGCCAGGCTTCGATGCATGCTTGAAGCCGCCTGAGCCTTCCGCTTTGCGCTTTTCAGTTGCCGTAATATGCCGTGGGTCCGTTAAGGCCAAGCTTGTGTGGGTTTCTCAAAATTACTTTTGGGCATTGTCTCAGTTGCATGTCGGATGTCACTTTAATGGACCCAGCTGTAGGGTGTGACAGGTTGTCCTTTTGAGACCAGCGCATGTTTTCAGGGGCCTGATTCGCAGGTTTCTTGTTAGTGGAAGGGAATTGTGTTCCTGCAGCACGTTGATTCCTATTGTGCCAATCTTTCCCAAGCCAAAATTTTCCAAAAGGACTGCCGTGGAGTATTGAGGCCAAAGTTGCCTTGCCTGTGTCTAGATCTACGCGGGTGGTTCGCAAGTTGGGTCTCTTTCACGCACTGTGTTGTTGGTTACATTGACTTGGATCAGTTTCGTCTTTGTGAGGTTGGTGATCCCTCAAACAGAGAAGTGAAGGAGCCTCCCCGCGAAGGCGTGTGTGTGTGTGTGTGTGTGTGTGTTGGGAGTGTAGCTCTGGAGTTCAACTGTGCTACCCCTGGGGCCCTGTCGGAATGACGAAGGGCGTGGTAAATGCCATCAGGCATTGCCTGGGTATGGGGTTTGTTGCGTCTCTTGGGGCGAAAGGAGTTGATGGCGGAGATCAGATTCGTGTTGGCCAGGTTTGTTCCGGTTCTGGGGTCTTTCATTCCAGGTTTGGGAAGACTACGATTTAGCCGCATTGGCGCACGGATGCGCACGTCTTTCATTCCTCAGGAACTGAATACAACTGAAGGCTTTGCCAAAGCGAATTGTATGTTGGAGGACTGGCAGAAGTTGATAAGCAATTTCGCACGGCCGCAGTTCAACACTTTTCAGCAAACCCAGAACTTCTATGCTTTGCGAACCCTAGGGGTCTATGTCGGGGATTTCAATCAGGCCTTGTTCAGAGCTTATCCTAGACCCCCAGGGGCCATGATTAGCCAAGCACACATATATATATATACATATCTATACTGGCGCACATATACATCAACTCCGGATCGTGCCTGACAGTTGCATCTATCGGAAGAGCGAAACCGAGATAGAAAGTGCGCGAGCGGCATCAGTCAGGATCATTCAGTGATTTTTAGCAGGAGTGCAAAGCTCTTGCATTCCAGCCCTCCCCACCTCCCTTTGTTCCCCCAACATGAGAATCTAGGCCCCACTACGTTCATAAATATTCATATTGAGGCCTGACTTGGGGCAAACCATGGTTGGGATCCTATAATGTGTGGGTCATGGGCACAGTTCCTTGCCGAGGAATCGCAGTCCTGGTCTAAGCTCCAAAGTGTTTTTGCTTGTGTTGACTTGGACATGTGACAGATGCTTCGATCAATCAATCAACTGTGCACCAATGAAAAACGCTACATGGCAACCCCAACAGGTGCTGATTACCGCGGATTATCCTAGACATGTAAGCCGATATGTCCCTTTTTCGATCGTATCCTTCTGGACAGTGTTAAATGGAATCAAAGCGAACACTGCCGCGTTTGTTTGGGCCTCTGTTTTACGACACTCCCCGTTATCAAGTGCGTTATTGCCTTTTCGCTTAGTGCAAGGCGTGCTTTTGATACAAAGATGATGCAGAAAAACCTTTTGCGTGCCAAGAAAAGCCATGGAGTTCTGAAGCCATGGCTGTTTTGGACCCTCAGGGGTGGACACGGCAGCCTTTGGGATGCACACGTGTTCGATTCGCGCGGTTCGCTTTCGGCGTCGAATGGGCCAAGAAAAGCGCCCAGGGTCCAAATGGTTTGGGACCACAAACCAGAGCAAACGAATCGGAACCTCACAAAGGGTCTTGGTTTGCATCTCAGATGCAGGACCCGTGGTGTCTGAGACTGAGAGAGAGTGCTTTCAACATAAATATGCTTGACTTACAATTTGAGGGTCTTTTGAGTGGGCTCCTGTGCCTCGCCGGGGTTTTCAGAATTCAGGCCGAGCCTGCATAGCCCCCGCCAACGGGCAAGGCTTTATTTGACTTTGTAGGGTCCAGCCAATGTTCGAAAGCCGAGTTCCATCCTCGCCCACTGGTTACACATATCCTATACTGCAATGATTGTTTATCCCATTAGATTGGGATGTCTTCCACCGGTAATGTTTAGGCCATGAACCGTAACGCCATGATCGCCATGGTTCGATTCCTTCGCCCTGCTAAATGGCGGTGCTGAACCCTGGTTTCCCCCAACATAAGACCCTAAGGAAGCCAGTTGGGGTCCTATGTGGGTCATAGGTGTTTTTTTTGGACCTGTGAAACAAGGGTTTTGTGGCATGTGATCTGTCTCGAATTGGTTTCCTTTTGGTTTCCCGTTAAAACCAACCAAAACGGGGCTCCCCATTTGGGTGCGTGGAAAGTGCTTGGACAGCACTTGGGGTTACCGCAGGCGGTGGGCACTTTGCCGGCGTTCTTGGCTGCGCTGGCGGTGCACAGCGCGGAGCGGAACGAAACCGGGGGCATCGAGCCAG